CCAGCCCAAAATTTATTTTGTTTATTTATTTATTTTATTTAGTGTGTGTGGCCAGCTCAGCCCACCAGGGGGCGGGCTGGCTGGCATGTGGTGCTGGGGATTGAACCGCAGTCCCGGTGCTTTGCTTAGCTTAGCTTGTTCTAAGTAGGTGCTTTAGACCACTGAGCCATCTCACCAGCCCCAATTTTTCCTTTTTGATGTAACTTATTTCTTGCCTTCTTTTTTTCTGTCTCTTTCCTCGGTTTATCTTCTTCTTTGTGGTCCTCTTCATCCTTTTTAGGTTGTTTTTTCTCTCTAAAACAAGGCTGTTTTACCATATTGGCTTTGCTTCTTGGTTTGGGAATCTTGACTTCTGCAGCCGCAGGTCAGCCTCTCTTAGGTCTCACTTTTAGAGTAACAGATGCTGTTGCTGGTGCCACCATTCCTTCCTCCTCAGTTTTCATTTTTTCTGCCTTTCTCTTTCTCCCTCTTCTGTCAGCTTTTGAAGTGGGTATGTCAACTGGGTTAGTGATATTCTCACTAAAGGAACAAGGATGAATGTTACTTCTTCATAATCACTGTCTTTGTTCGAAGTACTAGTTTCTTCTTCTTCAACTTCAACATCAGATGATACATTTGACAGTTGAGCTGATGCCTGCTGACTTGAAAATTTCATTTTTGGGTACGTTTTTTATCTCCCATAAGCCTTCATTAAAATTTTTTTGTTTATTTGGTTTACCATACTTTTCCTTATTTTCTGAGTAAGGAAATAATATATAACCTTTGATCCTAAGAAGGCTGTCTCATGAGTTCCAAAAAGGAAGATGGACAGTTTGTTTGTGGGTGGCTTTATGACTCCATCAGGAACTTCATCTACTTGAATTGGCCAATGAGGATAGCCTTTCATCTCTGTGAAGATGAGGTCTCCAGTTTTGAAATCACGAGTCACATTTTGGAGGTAGGCTGGGGCTCCTGAGCCCAGGAAAAACTGGTGGCATGCAGTGAAGGGATGCTGGGATGCAAGCTCTGGCTCCCAGCAGGTGGCCTGGGGATGAAGCCTCTGGAGGCCCAACATGCCTGCTTGGGCCACAGGTGTTGAGGCTGTGGTGACAGGCCTGCTGTGTCTGCCCACGTTCATGCTAGCTACCTTTACCACCAGCTGTCGCAGAGGTGTCTCAGCTGCTCGGAACCACAGCCACTGCCACTGCTACCAAAATCTTACATATCTTTGACAGGTATATAGTTCAAATTAATAATTGGAAATGGATTTATTGAGGTCTCCCAACTTTTTTTTTTTTTTTTGCAGAACCAGGGATTGAACCCAGGACCTTGTGCTTGCCAGGCAGATGCTTATCTTGCTGAGCTATATCCCTGGCTATCATTTTGAAGTATCTATTTCTCCTTTTAAATTCTGTTCAGTTTTGCTTCTTATATCTTGAATTTTTTAAAAAATGTATTTTAGTACAGGGTTTACGGGGTCTCACTACACAGAGCGGATTCATAGTGATCCTTCTGTTTTCAGCCTCCTAAGTGCTGGGATTACAGGTGTGTGCCACCACACCCAGTCTCAATCACCAAAAGCCCCGGGGGCAGGGCCAGCATGGCACTCCAGGGATTGAGTTCTGGTCCCTGCACCTGCCTAAGCAGGTGCTTTAGTCCAGTAAGCTATCTGGCTGGCCCTGAATTTTTGTTGTTATGCAACTAAATAATTATAATTGCTCCATCTTTCTAACTTGTTTATTATTAGGAAACAATTTGGAAAAATAACTAGAGTATGTTTAATGGAGTATAATTATAAAGGGATATGGAATTCTTGTAAGGTTCTGAGACACATCAGACACACATCTTTCTGGAGAAGTCATGACCACTTTTTAAAATCTATTCTAGAAGTGTTTATCAAGGATCTTTTATGTGAGTGTTATGGAAAATAGGGATGACTATATTAAGTTTTTTTTTTTTTTTTTTAAGACAGTAGACTGAGGATATGGCCTTCCCCCTTTGTTTTTTTTAGTATATGTGCTGCCGAAGTGAGCACCCCCTTTGTTTTTAAAATCCAATTCCAAATGATAGTAAATAAACAAAAGAAGAAGTAAGAGCTCTGTGGACAGACTTCAGACATAAGATTTTTACTCGAAACTGTAAGTATATTTTATGGAAGGGTAAAGTCTGTAGTTTCAAATTTTCAAAGATGCCTAACACTTAAATGAGGTTAAGAAGTACTGTTAAATAAAAATCATAAAATTTTCTAATGACTTAGAAATGTAATACAATATAAAGCCCTTTGCTGAATTTTTACAATATGCTTAGAGTTGAAGAGTTGCTACACAATTAACTACAAGTAAAGCAAATCAAGTCCCACATTCTAGGTTAAACTGACTTTGATTTTGAAACACCACAAAGCCAAACAATGTTTTAAAATCCTATAATCAACTTTATAAATTATTTTGTATCATATTGTATATTATTTATAGCTAAAAACACATGACAATGCTAAATCATCTTAAAATGTATCAGAAATTTTGCTATTTAAAGGAGAACAAAAGGAAAAAACTCTACTTATAGGTATCAAAATGAACATAGTATATAGATCTTTTGAGATGTACAAAGGCCCTTGTAACGAAAGAGAGATTTGTAAAAATATACAGGTAAGTAGAAATGAACAACTTCCTGGGGAAACTAAACAATGTTTCCAAAAGAGACTGATTTATATGCTGGAGTGGTTTATCAACATCAGACCAAACATTGCAGGCTGCAGTGGATAACTTCTCACGATGCAGGAAAGGTCACAAAAGCCTGGAAGGAGCCTCCTATGGGCTGGGGGTTGATGAGCAAAGGTCCAGAGTAGAAATAAACTTTGAGTTGATAAACTGATGGTTTTCTGAATTCAAAGAACAATAGCTACTAAAAATGGTAAGGAAAGGACTTAAAAATTTGTGCATTTGGAAGATATCTCAGGAAAAATATAGGTGGTCTACTAACATGGGAAAGTACAAAAGAGGTAAGAAGCAAGAAATGTGGTGGCAGATGACTATAATCCTAGCAGTTGGGAGGCTGAGGCAGGAGGATCCTGAGTTTGAGGCTAGCCTGGGCAACTTAGTAAGATCCTATCTCAAAATATGAGATAGAGAAAGAGAGAGAGACAAAATTAATCATGCTTAATATTTTTTGAAGTTCAGATTTTCATATATAACTTAAAAAATACAAACATCTATAGTTAGAGCTAACTCTTAATTTAATGGCAGATGCACACAGAAATTTCAGGGGCTTACCATGTACTTAATAGCCACATGCCCTGGGACTGCTCACCTGTAACAGAGAGATTAGTCACTGCCGCACTGGTTAGGGGAAGGACAGGATTGACTGTGAGGGTAGCTGCTGTACTGCTTGTCACAAGGCTGGGTGTGGTTGCCACCTAGAGGTCAGACAGGAAAACATGCACAAAACCCTTAAAATGAATACATGAAACATAATGGCAAGTCAGATACACTCTGTCAGTAAGAATGTGTGTACTATTACCAACTTTTACTAAACAAGAAAACTATCTGACAGGATCGGGATGTGGTATTGGCAGTGGTGGTGGTATCTTATATTGCATTTAACTTTTCACTCTGTTGGGTGCAAGACTAATTTGTTTTTGTTTTTAATGAAATGGTATTACAGGGATACTGCAAAGCAAATTTCTTAAAAACTCAAAATTTCTTTTTGAAACAAATTTGTCCAGTTTTAACGAAGTACTGCTTTTTTTCCTAATACATATAAATCTGCAATACAAAAAAGTCACACACACGGCAGGCCAAATAGATCAGCAGGTTAAAGTGCCTGCGAACAGGTGCAAAGGATGGGTCCTAGGGGCCTGCTGTGCTAGCCCTGCTCCTGCCTGGAGGCATGCTAAGACGGCAATGGAGATTGCGCCTGTAATCCCAACTCTTGGGAGGCTGTAAACAGGTGGATCACTAGGAGTCCGATCTAGTAATGAGACCCTAAACACCCTGTAGACCCTTCCCTAAAATACAAAAAAAAAAGTGACACACACAAAATTACTACATACAGATTATTTTTTTTATAACTACTATTTCATGAACATCATGATTAAAGCTCCACCATTTAACCACAGGCATCTCTTGACTGATATGTACTTTTAATGCTGACTTTAGCTTTCAAAGCCCTTATTGGAATGTTCAAAATGAAAAAAAAAAATTAATAAAAAAAGAAGGAGCTGGGGAGATGGCTCAGTGGAATGGGCACTTCCCTGGCAAGCGCAGGGGGGGCCTGAGTTCAACTCCCAGTTCTGCTAAAAAAAAAAAGAAAAAGAAAAAAGAACCGAAATGACAGTCTGCCATCTCGTGAAATCTGACTAGCACATTACAATCATCCTACAAATCAAGGGAGTCACTCAGCACTACCTGTCCTTGTCACTCAATGAGGAACCGAATGTATGAAAAGGACTGTCAGCAGGGAGATAAGTTCAGCGGCGTAAGTGCCTGCCTAGCAAGTGCAAGGTCCTGAGTTCAAAAAAACAGAAAAGGATTGTTGTTTAGGATAAGGATCTAAGTTGATCCTTTTAATATAACCAGAGCTAAAGGTTCTCTGAGAATTAACTGTCACTTAATAATATTTAATAAATAAGGCTTTAGGCTTTGAGATGAGTAGAATCACAAAGGAGACTCTTGGATTATCAGTTACTGAAGAACTTAATAAACTATACCAGAGAATAGAATGATGGAATTGTAATAAATAAGAAAGAATTATAGTTGTTCACTTTAAATTTATTCAGTATGAATGTTGTATACCTATGATAAATTCTTGGTAGGAAAAAAACTGATTGTGCAGATCATTTATAAAATTGTAAAAACTAGCCTGAGGCTTTCATTCTTACCAGTGAGGTTGGGCTGGGAAAAATTGCTTTGATAGGTGAGCTGCTGGTCCCACCACTGCTTGGTGGGTTGATTCTTTTTTCCTTCTGGCGTCGGTTACAAAACCAAACACGAATCACCTCTTTTTCCATATTGAGCTGTTCAGCAATCAAGGTGATCTCTTCTGAGGTAGGCTTTTGATTCTGAAGGGGGGAAAAAACCCATCTTTTGCAATAACTTTTTGAACAAGTGATATAACTTAAAGTAGCAGAGAAGTCAGAAAATAAAGCTAGGATATATAT